TACAGTATTTGAATGTGTGTATTGTGTCTACTGTTTGTTAACTCACCATATTCATAATGTGTTTGTGGGGTTAGGGGTGTGTATGTGTGTGTGTGTGTGTGTGTGTGTGTGGGGGGGTTAGGGTCTTTAGGCTTTGGCCCCCACCCCTGCCACCAGTATATTTTTAAGCAAATATTTCTAACTTTTATTTGAATATTCAGTTTGCTACCATCTTCTCTTAAAGGGTAATTGCCAGGTATCCCGCCCTCTCCCTTCGCACACACATGCACACAAAGAAAACACACAGTATAATTCACAGCCTCATTATAGTGAATAAATATTTATGCCATTTACACCATCAAACTTAGATTGCTAAGGATGAAGAACCTTTTGTTCTTTAAAGAACCATTTGTAATAGCTGAAGAACCATCAACAAAATAAAAAGGTTCTTTGACGTATGATGGTTCTTTAAAGAACCATGAAGACATCTGAAGAACCATTTAAGAACCATAATTTTTCTGAGTGTAGAGTGGGATTTTCACGGCACATTCCGCACCACATCTCTGTGCGTTCATCATTTGTTTGAAGCCAGCTCACCTCCTGCAACCACTTTTCCGAGAATACGTGCTTCTTTTGTGGTTCGGACTCCTTCTGACATTTCTTTGGAGGTAGAGGAACACCAAAGTAATTGCTTAAAGGAGCTTCTTCGACATCTTTAAGAGTTCTAAACTTTAAGAGTCTGTCCTCCTCCAGAAAATCTTATGTATGCAAACACGCGTTGCAACTTCATATCTTGTGCGCGTTTTTTGTTTTTTTTTTGGACAGCGAATGCGCACCTGCGGACCACTTATGTGCAGCCCCGGTTATATAGCTCGTCATATTGCAGCCACAGAAATTCTTTTGTCCATGAAACCGTAAAGCTGCACTTTCTTTTTGCCTCATAGTCTGATTTCTCATAACTTTTCCGTTTTGTGGTAAGCTTTTCTTTGGCTGTCACTTCTTCACCCTGACCTGTCTTATTTGGCTCAGCAGAACTAAAATATATATCCTGCTGCTTTTACACACACACACATAACGGTCAGCGATTCTCTGCGCGATCAACCTCTCATATGTTTAAGCTTGCTGCGGGAGATTTCACTTGTCATGTTTGCATAGTAAGCTAACGATTGATAAGACGATGTCAGAGGAATTGGTGCACAAATTATCATCACTCACAGATCAGTGCTGTCGCTCTCTAGCGATTTTGCAAGCCCTGTATCTGATTGAGGAATCACTCATCTTTGGAAAAGAGAGTTTATTACAGAGAAATGGCTCTTTCCAAAATAAAAGCTATACTATATGCTTCTTCTGGGCTATATTCTCAGCAGCATATTGTAGCGGGTCAGGGCTGTTCCGGGTTCTGTTTGTACAGTTATGTTTTGTTTATGTTGCCATAGTGATGGGTGATGCCCTCTCGCTGCGACGGTGTGTCCTTCCGGGGTCAGAGGGCGCTCTGTGTGTTGTTGTTGTTGCTGTGCGGTTGCCGCGCTGAGCAGTTAGCTAGCGGCAGTGTTCTTCTGCAGATGTCAATAAACGGCTGTGCTCCCTGGCTAGCTCACGGGAAGCAAGACCAAACGACACCTCCGTCTCCTCGTTGTCTGAGCTCGCCACATTGGTGTCAGAAGTGGGATGATGGTGGCACCCCATGTTCTGACCCGAGTGACTTTTCCCCCGCCGGTCGTGCCCGGCCGGTGCGCCAAAAGAAGGCACCTGGACATTTGCAAAGTGGAAGCAAAAAACAAGCGCAAATTCAAACGCGATTTCAATATGTCACATATTGACAGTGGCTCACCGATGCCAATGACATAATTACCCAGCTACATTTCTGAAAGAATGCAAAAGCATTGACATATATTTTTTCTTCCTACAATAGCCCGACGGGCAGGGCAGAGATAGATTTTGGTAGTACGACTGGAAAAATCGCTAGCCCCGGGACGTCGGGCTAGCGATTTTGCAAGCCCTGTGTTACAGGCATGGCCCTTTAAGGATGAAGCCTGATGGGAAATGTATTCGGGATGTGTGTAGCGGGACTGCCTGGTGTGTGTGTGAAGAGAGAGAGCGGAGAAGGGGAAAAAGTAACGGTTAGCTACAGAAGAGACGAAAAGAAAATAAATAAAAGGAATATAATAACTCCCTCGACAGCCAGAGTTGTGTCGGCGATGCTCGCTGTGAGTAAACTGTTTCAGCCCACTGTACGCGGTGTTCGTGCCTTAGAGAAGAAATAAAGTTCGGTGAAGCAGTTTCCTACGCCTCCTTCGATCTTTTTGCTAGCGGAGTTGACCTGTATAGTAAGCTGTTGCCGGCTACGAGTCAGTTACGGAACCTTCAAGTAACTGCCAGAGGTTTTCTTACTACGGTTCGGGCCCGCGGATCTGGCGCGGTAACACCTGTATCTGATTGAGGAATCACTCATCTTTGGAAAAGAGAGTTTATTACAGAGAAATGGCTCTTTCCAAAATAAAAGCTATACTATACGCTTCTTCTGGGCTATATTCTCAGCAGCATATTGTAGCGGGTCAGGGCTGTTCGGGGTTCTGTTTGTACAGTTATGTTTTGTTTATGTTGCCATAGTGACGGGTGACGCCCTCTCGCTGCGACGGTGTGTCCTTCCGGGGTCAGAGGGCGCCTTGTGTGTTGTTGTTGTTGCTGTGCGGTTGGCGCGCTGAGCAGTTAGCTAGCGGCAGTGTTCTTCTGCAGATGTCAATAAACGGCTGTGCTCCCTGGCTAGCTCACGGGAAGCAAGACCAAATGACACCTCTGTCTCCTCCTTGTCTGAGCTCGCCACATTGGTGTCAGAAGTGGGATGATGGTGGCACCCCATGTTCTGACCCGAGTGACCCCGGCCGGTGCGCCAAAAGAAGGCACCTGGACATTTGCAGGACTTTGTGTGGGGTAATGGGGTCGTCGGGGACGACTGACCCCTTAGGTGGGGGCTATGTAGCGGGTCAAGGCTGTTCGGGGTTCTGTTTGTACAGTTATGTTTTGTTTATGTTGCCATAGTGACAGGTGACGCCTTCTCGCTGAGACGTGTGTCCTTCCGGGGTCAGAGGGCGCTCTGTGTGTTGTTGTTGTTGCTGTGCGGTTGCCGCGCTGAGCAGTTAGCTAGCGGCAGTGTTCTTCTGCAGATGTCAATAAACGGCTGTGCTCCCTGGCTAGCTCACGGGAAGCGAGACCAAACGATACCTCCGTCTCCTCCTTGTCTGAGCTCGCCACAATATTAAACATATCAGGTCCCCATAAGGAGAATCATGTGCTAACGGCTGTCTAAATGACTCGGGTAAAGTTTGTAGCATGCTTGTTGTTTTTGTCTGCTTCCACTTGTCTTTGCACTAGGATGATGTCGGTGTAAATGTGCAGTCATATTCGTTGTGTTCCCACTAGTGCTGTCAGCGTTAATCTCGTTGAAATGACGTTAACGCCACAACATGGCAAATGTCAATGTCAATACATTTTTTCAAAAAATACCTCTCTGTGAAAAATGGGCTTAAAAACATAAACAACAACATAAACAACTGTGGGATACTGTTTGTCCGTGATTTCATTCCCCCCCTGCAATGGCTCTGCGCCCCACACTTTGGGAAGGTCTGCATTAAAGCATCATAGTCAAGGGAACAGAGAAAAGAGGCACATAAACTCTGACTGTCTTGCACTGCCCTCTCCTGGGAACAAGTGAAAACACTTTTACTGACGGTTGGATCAACATCCTGAGTTTGGTGCCAAACGCATCATTAAATACAGAACAAGATCATCGAGTGAGGGCACACTGGCAACAACCACCTAGCATTACATTTTCTTCTTTCAATCGGTTGCACAGCACAGCTCTCTTCATGATGCTAATATGTATTCATATAGAGATAATAGCTTTATTTTATAGTATAAAAAATAAAATCATTACTGTTTAAGACAATATTAACATTTTTATTGAGCAGACTGAAGTATAGGGTGAAGAAAAGCCAGAGTGTAATATCTCCATATAAAATGTTTAATTTGAAACAGGACAGAACAATTATATTAAAAATTAAAAATAACAGCTGCTGTTGTGAAGCAGAGGCTCCGCTGGTGGGCTTTGGAGGTGACGAGGATCTTTGACTTGTTCCTGACCAGGAGTGGGCATTCCACCCTTTTCCTGCTGAGGACCGCTCCGGGTTACACCTCAGACCGTCAAATATATGAATGTTATTAGATGGATTTTAATTGTGTTCTTATGTAACTGCCATAAATTTTCAACAATGGCTTTAAAAAGAGGTAAGGAGGATGGCACACACATCTTCTTGATAAAAGAGTGAATCAAATCCACCATTAAAATTACAACCAGTAGTTGATATCAGTCACATGCATATCTGGCAAGACACTTTGCTGTGTCGACACAACTCACTGCTGATTAATTCTTAATCACTGAATTCCAGTTCAAACTTTTATCAGTGACAAAAGTGAATCAAAAATAAAAGTAAAGTAATCTCTGGTGTAACCTTTAATTTGATGATACACAAGATCGTAATATGCTGACTTTCTATAAGAAATCAAGGAATGTGCTGAAAGTCTAGTCAATTCTATAGTGCTGCATAATCAATGATCAGTCATTTAAAATAATTATCATACATGATTAGATTTAAAGGCTATTTGTGTGCCTTGAAACTTCTTCTGTAAACTCAGTGCTCTGCGCTTTTTAAGATTTAAGTCAGCTGCACTTGAAAGATTTTAAGTGTGACATACAGAAAATGGGATGAATCTTCATGGAAACAGGACGTTTATGGTGAGATAGTGCAAGAGTTCTAGTGACCTTGACAAAGTTCCCTGAGTTAAAATAAGGCACTACTGCTGAGCTGAATGATAAATTCCTTTTTAGTTAAATTTTAGTTAGAATTTTTTAAAGGAAGAAGTCAAAATATCTTTGCATAAACGAAATGTACTTTCTACAGATAAGATGTAGTAAGTCCAAAAGAAATGAAGCCCACGTTCAGCACTGGTTAGTACATTATGTTCATGTAAAAATGAATTGTTGGCATGTGCCATGAATTCAAACGTGCGCTAAGTTTTCTCTCCTCCCTGAGCAACATCTGCAGTTTGGTTGCTGTTTGGTTTGCTCTTGTGCACCTAACACTGCATCCACCAACTCTTCATGCACCACTGACAGTTACATTGTGAGTTTGAGTTTCTTCTTCATGTTTCTTTAATAAACTTTTTCTTAATTAGCATTTCTATCTGCACCTGTCTTGCTGCCATGGCTGTGTGGCCTAGTTTTGATAAAATCCTAGGCCATTTTCATGGTGCAAGGATCCTTCTTCTGTGCTGTATAATTATAATAAAATACAATGATCATACATAGTCCACTTTGGGTACAGCACAGTGCAGCGGTCCCTGTTCTGCAGGTACTCTGGTTTAGATCAGCAGAGTGTGAAGGGTTGTTTCTCTCTTTATGTCAGTTATGGACTGGAAACTTGTGAAGGGTGTACATTGATTGTATCAAATTCATTTAATAACAGTCTCTCTTTTTTGCCTTTGCCATGACTTCAGAGCAACTTGCCAAGTTTTTTTTAGCAAAATCAGATTTAGTTCACAGATGTTTTCTGTGCTGCCTACAAATTCCAATGAACCTAACCATCCATATTTATGTTTCCACATTTGTCCTTATTTATTTAGAAAAATAACAGAAATACACGATTAAAAGACACAAGAACAAGCATATCAAACAATTACCATAGCAAAAAAAGTAGATCCACATAAAAAACATATGGTATACGTGTTACAGTTTAATGTCAACTTGTCTATTGCATAGCATTTACTCTATATGCTTTTATTTCCAAAATAATGTTAATTGTTATTATAATAGTTTTTTTCTTGATACTAACCAGGCTGGCTTTAGGTTTAGTGGAATTTCTTTTAATAACAAATAATTTTCACACAGACCTCTAAAGTAATTAGAATGTTAACTGCACTGTTGTAGACTCTGAATATGAAAAATAACCCAAAAACTGATAAAATATTTCTTGTTAAAAATGCTTTTTTAGCATCATATCAGGAGTGAAAAGAGTTTTTCTTATTTACATTTCACACATCCAGTGCAACTGCTTCGAGTCACAATTTCCATCATAGCGGGTCTTCCAGGGATTAAAGGCGGAGTGAACTGCAACCCCACAATGTTCTCCAATCTCTCCGCCGTTGTTTGGTTCTCCATCCATCCAGTACCTAAGAAAATTGCATCATGTATTGTTAACTTCAAACCACACACTACCGGTCAAAAGTTTTAAAACACCCAATATTTTCAGTTATTTATTGCAATTCAAGTCATTCAAGTCCAATGAATAGCTTGGATTGGTACAAAGGTTCACATCAGGTGAACTGTCAGAGGTAAAAAAAAGAAAAAAAGGTTACCCAATGTACATTTTAGAATTATACAGAAAGGCCTTTATCAGGGAACCCAAAACAGAGGTTGATGAAGCCTTGGAAGCTGGTGCTACTAATTCCTACAGGTGTTCCAACTTTTCTGGATTACTTACAACCACCTCTGTCTGCATAAAAGCAGTGTTGGATCACATTGTGGTATCATTACCTCGTGAGCATCAGTTGAACAGTACTGTATTGGAGAAATTAGTGTTGCTCCAAAAATGGTGAGAAGAGGGCAATTAACAATGGAAGAGAAACAGATCATCATAACATTTAAAAATGTAGGTCTTTCCCAACGAGAAACTGCAAAGAAAGTCAAGGTGTCAGTGAGTACAGTTTGCTTCACCATCAAAAGGCAAGAAACTGAGGAAAACTCTGACAGGAAGAGGTCTGGCAGACTCAAAGCCACAAATGAATCAGAGGACATGTTTCTCAGAGTTAACAGCTTGTGTGATAGGCTTATTTATACTATGCTTTCATTTCAGAGTGCAATGACACATGAAACTGTATAATTTTCAATAAAAAAATGGCTGCTACGGCAGTCATGTGGTGTTTGTGAAGGAAGGACCCAAAATGCAGGCAAAGGCTGTGATGCGAGTGATCGTTTATTTACAGTGATGGCAAAGTGACAAAAACAGGAAAAATGGAACGGGGGGCTCCAAAACCTAAACTGGGAAAACTAACCTCATACAAACCCAAACTGAAACACAAAACGTTAAACACTGGGATACCTGGAAGCATGAGGAGACAAAAGGCACGGGAACATGGGGCGAGAAAGGCAGGGATGACAAGGAGAATGTTGAGCAGAGACATGCTGAGAAACAGCAACTAACGCAGACGGACCGACAACGAGCAAAGGCAACCTCACACTATAAGTACACACACAGAGGAACAACAAGGAATGGCAAACAGGAGGCACAGCTGATCCTAATTAACATGAGGAGACAAGAGACACAGACCCTAAAAGTAAAACCGGAACCCACAGGCTGGACTACAGACACAGACTCAGGGAAATGAAACAGAGCACAGATGGAGCACACTGACAGATAACTAGGCACACAGCAAAGGAAGCACAGGAAGAAAACCTCTCAACTAGAATACATAAAAAACATCAAATCGTCAGATAATAACCATAAGAAGAAGAATAACAAACACAAAACGCTGGGTCACCAACCCAGCACCATGACATGGTCTAAAGCTTTTGATTGATAATATATATAATATAATTAATTGATTTAACATAAAAGTATGAAGAAATGATTGGTGCTGTTCTCACCTTTGTTGCACCTCTGTGACATTATTAATCCATGTCCAGTTCCCCTCGTTCTCCATGTCAGTGAGTCCAATCCAGAATCCATTCTCCCACTTACTATTACTGGTTTTCATATTTTGGATTATGTGACTCACATATTTCTAAAGAAAAAAAAGAAAAAAAGAATCAGTTAACACCTAAAATAAAGTTTTCAAATGACCTAATTATAACAACCAATATAGAAATTAACTCATTTTCAGGGCACGACCTTGACTTGTACAGTGCCAGTTTGTGGCTACATTACATTCACCTGCTCTACTGTTTTTGAGCAGTTCGAGCCTGTGTGATTTGATCAGGTGGAAAAACTTTGTAATGACATAAAGACATCATCTTGTCCAAATGATGTTGTTCCAACACATTTCTTAAAAAAGATTCTCAAGGTGGTCAGTTTTAATAGCAGTCTTAACTCAGGTGTTGTGCAGCCTGTGATTAAAGAAACTAATCTCGATTCCTCTGTTCTTGCAAGCTTCAGGCCTCTTTCAAAGCTTCCCTTTCTGTCAATAATTTTAGAAAATAATGTATTTTTTCAGCTGCAATTTCTATACAGTCACCCTGTTCTCGAGAGGTTTCAGTGCCTAAATTGCCTAAATTTGCCTCTCCACATCAGACAGGCTCCTACCCTCAATCTTTTTAAATGCTATCTTAAAACACAGCTCTACTCATTGGCTTTTAATGCTGCATGAGAGTTATTTACTTATTTATTTGTTATTTGGCATTGATGTTAATTGATATTCATTATTTTATTGTGTAATTTGTATGTTTGTACAGCACTTTGGTCAACACCACTGTTGTAATTAAATGTGCTATATAAATAAATAAACTAAACTACATAACATTTTTTAATTTTTCCATCACCTGTACCTTATGTTTATTAACAGGAAGCAGATTATAGCATGTTGACATGACTGTTTGCTGTTTTTTGCTAATTGTTTACTTGATTTTTTAATAACATATATTTCTCTTTAAATTTATTTGTTGACTGCATGTAGTTTGAGTTTTGGATGTCTATTCTGTTAAAAGGTGACCCAGAAAGAACAGCTGGTTCTTGGGTAATAACATCTAAATGAAGATAAACGTACTCGATATGAACTTTATAATCAGCTCTACAATTAGCAGAATTTAAATCCATGTTAATCACTCTCTGTGGTCTCTTAGGCATGTAGACTTTCTGTCTATCTCACCTATTTTTTACAGTCATCCTTGTTTGTTTTAAACCCACCTGCTCTTCCTGGTTATCGATCACAACCAGGTCAGAGCCACGACTAACACAGTCCTCTCTGCTCTCATGCCAGTTCTTTTTGACAGTAGAGGACTCGGTGTAGGAGAAGAAATAGCAGGACGAGTTGAAAAGAGCCCAACCAGGGAGGCATCCGCCACAAGATCCCTCTGAGAGAAACAAAGAGTTATCGTCTTTTCCAGTTAACACATTTCAGGAAAACATAAATAAGGATAAAAGTTTCTCACCTAAAGCTGATACATTGGACTTCAGGTTTGCCTTCTCCACTTGCAGTGCTTGCATCTGTTTCTGATAACCATCATTGACGGTCTTCAGCTGCTCAATTTTCACCTTTACTTCTTTGTGGTTGTTGATCGCGCTCTCTAACGCCTTCTTGGCCTCCTCTTCAGCTTCGATCACATCGCTGTGGTTGCTTCGGAGATAGTCGAGCTCACTGAAGAGCTGTGTTACAGCTGGGTTGGAAATGTGCAAGGAGCCCTCTTTGACTTTGGCACCTGAAAATGTTTGTGTCAAAATATCAATAGTTGAATCACATTTCAAAGTACTGGAAAATAATCTTGACACAGTTTTGTTTAGAAGGAACTAAAATAGTTTTTTAATCAACAAACTAGAACATTTTCTATTTAAAAGATGTGTTACTGCTTGTGTTAACATGATTACTCTAAAATCTTATAGTGAAAGTGTGTTATCAGCAGTTTATCAGTAAGTTTCCAAATTAAAAAAAGTGGGAAACGAAACTTAATGTGAATTTTCACACTCACAGTTAACTCCAATAACAACAGCCGTTATCAACAGCACAGCGTTCAGCAATCCAAGGAACGGTATAATCGGTGGGTACTTTGTTGATCCACCTTTAGTAAATAAACATAAAAATATTGTAATGTTTCAATGTTTGGCAGAAAACACAATTGACTTACATTTTCCTTCTTAGCTTCTTCTGCTTTGTAGGCATGCTTGAACAAGTGAACTGTATTTCCTCACAGCTGCAATGAGTTTGCGGTCAAGCCACAAACCAGCTACATTAGAAAACACATCTTATTTACTGTAGCTATATTTAGGTTTATCTGACCTCATACAAATACAACTTCATATGCAAGCATCCTACAAAAGCACACAGGTTTAGCAAATATTTAAGAATGATTTCAACTAATGTTCTTCCACTAAAATAGGCAACACTGACTTCAGGAAACTACCTGGAAAAAAAAGATGAAATGGAAAGAAAAGAGGAGAAAAAGTGATGGCTAAACGAGTCATTGTGGAAGAAACTCGTACCTTGCCTAAATATACCATTGGACGGTGTGTCATTGTTCTCGTTTGGCCTTCTCTGTGGATTATCCATGACTGCAGTGTTGGTTGTAATGCCTACTGATCTGTCTGACTTCTCTTTTATAGCCTCAAAAAACTGACTTTGAATACGTAATGCTTGCTGTGGGTGTATCAGTTCTGCCTTGAATTCTGGGCCATTGACATCTGTTCGTGTTTCTGTGAAAACCAGTAATTTGATTTAGGATGGAGGTCGGCAGCCACATGTGGCTCTTTCGTCCTCAGCTGTGGCTCCCTCAAGTTTTGGGCGGAAAAAATAAAAGTAAGAAAAATTTGCATGTTACAGGGATAGCCTGCTTTAAGAAAACAGTCTGATGGTAATGTATTCCGTGCCACAGGTTGAATGTTGTGGGGAAAACAGAGACGGCCTCTCTGTGCACAAGTGAGTGCGAGTTACATCTGCAGCACGAAGTTTAAAGAGTGAGAAAAGTATGTTTATAGTTGGAGCTACTGCAGCCAAAAGAGTCTAACCGGCCCAGTTGTGAGCGAAATGTTAGCAATAATCTGCAAACTGTGTTTAGCGCATCCAGGAATAAAGTTCTGCTGGTGCAACCCTCCGATGCCTCTCTCCATCTATCCACTTTGCGATAAGTTGACCCAGACCAGACAGCTAGTTACCACCTACGAGCCAAACTCAGAGCACATTTCCCAGAGTTCTCTGCACTAAATCTGCCATTACGATATGACCCACAAGCAAAGATCTGCACATACTTGTTTCATACTAGGACTTTTGTGGATCGGTGCGAAGCTGGCAGCCTTAAATGTGCATCGAAACATCACGTGGGCATGCAACGCGAGCTGTGTGTATCCGGTGATTCGTCCACATGTATTTAAGGTTTTGTGAGCTGGATTGTTACAGAATATTCTGGTGTTTTTCAATAACTATCTATGTATATTTTCCACCATCAGCTTTTGTATTTTTTTTACGCCCAGGGCTGGACGGTTGATTGCTGCCTGCGGCTTGATGAAAAACAGAAGATGACAGCACATTAAAATGAACTGAAGTGATAATTACAGACAAATAGTTATCACGATTATTCTTTTTACTTTAAAACTATTCGGCCACTGCTGCGTTTTATTTATTTGAAAGTGGACTATTTTCTATTTGATGAATTTTCCAATTTCCAATTTTTTTCCCTCCTCTTCATAGCATCTATAAAACAGTTCTTGAAAGTAAAAAGCTCTTCATCTTATTAAGAAATATTATTATTCTTGTATTAGGTATAAACGGACTATTCACCCCCCCCCCCCCCCCCCCCCCCCGGCTGCACTACAGACACATAAGCACGAGTGCGCATGTGGCTGTTTTTGTCCCAGAATACGGTCGGAGGGGCTAAAATGTCCCTGTTGATGTTGAAGGTTGGTGAACCCTGGTCTAGGGACTTGCTTGAAATGACATTTTCTCATAAATCAGTTATCCTGATGCTTCTAAAAGTTTAAACCAGTGCCAGTTTTTTGTCATGACTATTGTACAGATGTAGTTAACCACATACTGTATATGTCTGTGAAGGTTCTCAGTCATCCAGGTCATCGTAGTCAAAGGAGCTTGCAAAGAAAAGCGTCTGGACTTCTTTAAGTTGCTTGAAGACGTTTCACCTCTCATCCGAGAAGCTTCTTCAGTTCTAAGGTCAAATGGTGGAGTTTCCCACCTTGGCTCAGGCGATTAGAGGATCATCAGGGGTTCTTTTGTCCCTCTGTGGGGGGTCACTCCCACTAGGTTTCTATCTGGGACTCTCCACCATTTGACCTTAGAACTGAAGAAGCTTCTCGGATGAGAGGTGAAACGTCTTCAAGCAACTTAAAGAAGTCCAGACGCTTTTCTTTGCAAGCTCCTTTGACCACATACTGTATAGATTGTAGATTACTGTAGACATACTGTATACTGTAGACTGTAGATTTCACTATATTTTTCAAATCGCACTGTTTTAGTAGAATAATAAAAATACAAGCTATTACACAAATTCAAATTTTCATTCCTTCTGCAAATGTGCTCTTATGTTTTTTTTGTTTTATTTTGTTTTTCTAGATCTGACTTCTGAAAACTTGTCTAAGAAACTACTAACAGATACTATGATGCAATTTTTTCGAAGAAACACATATCCTCTTTTTTTTGAAGAAGTAAATTGACAGCACATCTTACAATAAATTACTCTACCTTAGCTATAAAGCAGGAAACAGACAGTGCAGCTTTATATGATAACAACAAAATCCACTTATACATGCAATTAATTAACATCTAATTTATAAATTAACTATTAATCCACAATTATCACCCCTATAATCCCAGTTACATTATGACATGTTGTTTAGTACTTTGTTTTTATGAGTTGCAAAATTGTGGCTCGCTGGAATTAAAAAATTTTTTTTTTTTGCTAATTATGCATTTAATAAAACATCCATACATCGTTTTTACCTGTTTAACTGATAAAACTACAGTTCTGCAGTAATTGGCTGTAACTGTTGATTAATGTAATTGTCGAAAGCTATAACCAGAGGTAGAATGTAACAGACAATACGTAAAAAGTATTCATATAAGAGAAGAGCTTGAGAAAATGTGGAGCGTGAAGGTAACAGTGGTCTCAGTGGTAATTGGAGCACACGGTGTAGTGACTCCCAAGCTAGGCGAGTGGCTCCAGCAGATCCCAGGAATGACATCCGAGATCTCTGTCCAGAAGAGCGCAGAAGACCTGCTGATCAGGCACATTGATTGGTGCCTGATCAGCAGTACCTGTGAGCATAGACCCTGCTACAGTGGTCAGTTGAGGACTTCACATAGCACGCCATGGCTGACTGATCTGGGTTGGGACAATGTCATAGGGCAACTTCAAGGTGGTGTCCCAAAAAAACAAGTTGTAGCATTATTTGGAGTGAGCATTTGAAGTCATATATTGACTCCTGTGAAACTTTAGTTTCATATATGAAATATTTTTAGGATTCATTTTTTGAACACTGCCTCTATCCACCAATTTTAACCCCGAGGCAACAATGGGTGGCCAGAGACAATGTTTGAAAGTGAATGCAATGACTAAAACAGTGTCTGAGAATATTTAGTGAATCGTATATTTCACATTCAAAAGATAATTTCTGAGTGTGTTAGGGCAGCATAATTGTGACAAAGGTGAGGGATGTATGAAATATTCTCTTCACCAAAATAGATGTTAATAATTTAATAGTTCAAACTCATAGCTCCTGTAGTCTTCAGTAATGAGTTAATGTTATTTTAAAGTTTCTTACTAGAAAATTTAAGTTCTTTAAATTTGTTACTTATAAGCCTGATGATAGTTTTAAAGTAAGATTTATGATAATTATCATATTTTAGCGTGTAAAAAGTGTAAATCAACGCTTTCCATTTATTTGATGAATGGTATTCTGCTGGTAGTCGTTGGAGTTCTTGGGATAACTGTGTCCATGACAGTCTACGTGACAAAAATACAACTTCAGTTTCCCTTTTCTGTAGAATTTCACAATGTCCGACCACCAAGAAAATGAACGCTGAGCAACTATATAAGGGGACAAGGGGATTTTACATGTTGGAAATTTATTTTGAGCCTTTCATGGAAACATGCTAATGTGGTGAGTTTTGATCAGAACTGCTGTTTGTTCCAAAGTTTAGTTTGATGTTGGATATTTTACATTAAAGACACAAACACACAGATGTGATGTGATCGAAGCTGAAGAGGAGGACAAGAAGTTACTAGAGCATGTGAACAAAAACCATGAACAATGAAAGGTGGATATTGAGCAGCTAAAGACCATCAGTGATGGAATATTACAATTCTTGCAGCATTCATTCACACAGTCAGCTTACTGATTGCATGATCACTGCAGCCTCCAGGCTTATGAATTTAAGGTCAGCATCTTGTATCAGACTACCTCTTGTGAAATGATCACTTTTTTATTACTCTTAATTGTTTTACTGTGTTTATTTTTGCGTAGAAAACTTTTTGTCTGTAATTGTTGAGTTTGCATCTTAGTATCATGTTTACCTGAGTTATCAGACTGCTTCAGATTGAGTAGATCTCAAATCGGTTGGCAGAATAGGTTTTAAACCACAAAATACGGACATATTTAATTAAATATGTCCAAGGTAGTTCCCTCTGCAGATGTGCTCTCTCTTTATTTAGATTGTTTCTGACATTTACATTTGTCTTAGAAACTGTTTTTCAAAAGTTATGATTTTTAGAGGAACATATTCTAACTCTTTTAAAGAAGTAAACTGATAATATCATGCGCTGTACACGTGATGGACAGCAGCTACTCTGTCAGGCCTAAAATGAATAACAGGAAGCAGCCACAAAATTCACTTATTATCCCTTCAGATGCTCACCAACATGCTTGATCTCGTTTCTAAATTATCCAGTAATCCAGTTAAGTTGAAGTCTTATATAATTCAAATATTCCAGAAATATGTTATTAGCCTTCCAAAATATTTTCTACAGTTAAAAATACTGACTAAAGTATAAATAATGACTTTGACTCTCTATTTATCATCTTTCCTTTTGTACACAGGCTGCTAACAGAAACAGGTTATTAAAGCTGCAGTTTTAATTGTTACCAGGCACAAGTGTTTCTTAATGTGTTCATCAGCAGATGAGGTGTAAACAGACATACTGGTATAATATTGTGTTAATAATGTAAAACACTGTAAGTCTGTATGCAATGTAAATTAACAATTTACTGTAGCATTGCTGTAGATAAATACAGCGTGCACACATGGGCAAAACTTGTTTTAAACAGCAGTTTATATAAATGTGCTGAATAATGCTTTTTCATGTTAGCTGGAAGATTTACTAATATGCTAAAAAAAATTCTTAAATGCTTACAGAGAATTTCTTCTGATAGCAACTTGTGTTCATGTAAGATTGTGATGCATTATTGCAGATATTTTAGCTCAGTGGTTTTGTTGCTATTTCGCATTTAATTTGGGTAACACACAGAACAACGTTCCAGGTCTTGTAGAAGTTTGCTTTGCGATACAACGCTGCACAGTCCCCAATATCCTAATCAAACAAATAAAATAAAAGTTATTAGGGTCATTCTATCTCCAATCAGCAACGTTTTTGAACATTCTCTTGTTGACCATCTCTGATTTGCATAAAATTATTATGGTCCAAAGTCTGAATATATATAATGATTGTTGCAGATTTCAGTTTTATATAAGAAATAGTTTTGAACATTGCCTCTTTCCACCCTGTTTTACTTGAGTGGACAGAGGCAAAGTCTGAACGTGAATGGAATGACTGATAACCGGATGAGGCAATTATTTTTAACATGAATATCTGAAAAACCAAGATCGATAAAGGCCTGGAATGATCACTACCTGGTCTTAGCATGAAAATGAATCTTTTCTGTAATTTGGGACATTTATATGAAAAACTGTCTGAGTTTTGGCTAATTAAAATATTTGTAAAAATTCAAGCTGTCCTGTAAAGTCTTATATTAAAAGTGATGATTTCACATAAGGTAAGATGCTGACCTTAAACCCATAATCCTAACACCTAACCAACCATAAGCGTAATGCCACGAATGCTGGAGGCTGCAGTGATCATGCAACTAGTATGCTGACTTTGTCAGTGAATGCTGCAAAAATTGTAATATTCCATCATTGATGGTCAATATCCACTTTTCATTGTTTATGGTTTTTGTTCACATGCAGTGGTTCTCAAACTGTGGTATGCATACCACTGGTGGTACTTGGGCTCCCTGTAGTGGTATGCGGGAAATCTCCCCCCCAAAATTTAAGATTAAATAATATACCATTGCGGAGGTATGCAAAGGTGCCAAAACGCTGATGGAAAAAACACAGCTTTTTCCCACCGTACCAAAATCTCAGGCACCATCGATGAGTTGGTGGTCCTCGGGAGTATCGGTGGGGATGAAGAAGATGCCGTCAGTGAGTCGTGAACTATTGCCTGGATGCCAAAGCTTCTGGTAGCCAGGTGAATGCGATCTGCTTCTTCTGCGAGTTAGCGGTAATCCTTCGCGGCCAGCAGCAACTGTCAGAGGAAGAGGTGAGTGAAGACAAATCCGCTGTCATCCGATCCTAGCAATCACAGCATGCTCTCCATGAGCTCGAGAGCGATACCATCACCCAGGCCTGAGAAAGAGGAGTTTCTCGGCCCACTCTGCATTGGAGAGGGAGTAGCGCCACAGCAGCAGTGCCTTGAGAACGGTGTATTTCCCTTGGGAGGGGGGATTTGGGAGGAGGGTCATCACACAGCGGGTGGACAGCGGATCCAGCGAGGCCACCACATGATGGTATTTCGACACGACGACACGTCGGCTGAAACACCACGAAGAACAAACTGGGCTTTGACATGCACAAACCACGAAGGAGGGTCGTGAAGCCAAAAATCCAGCAGCTTAATCGCCGCAGCAAAAATTAAAACGTACAGCTCTGTTAGCACTTCTGACATAAATGAAGAGAGAAAACTCAACAGCAGTGGTGTTTGTAGGGCTACTGAATTTGGGCTAGCTAGTATATAATAATGTGCTACAAGGTGGCTAGCTACACAGCTATGGTTAGCACCCCTTTTTGGGGGGCTTGTTCAGATGAAATAGAACAAGATAGAAGCATCAAAGCATGTTGAAAACACAACAGCCCTGATAAACGCAGAGTAGTTTGTTCATATGTCATCACATAAGACCGGATGTTTTATTGCAGTACAGTTGTTATTATTATCACTTGTTCCATCCTGTTTATGACAGTTAAAATAAATAACATTCATATAATAAATAAAATTGTCTCGTGTAAACTGTATGTGGTGCTAAATAGGCCTATACTACTGTACTTTAATGCCGGTCACAAGGGTGGTGCTTCAAGAGCCATATATTCTATGAGGTGGTACTCATTGTGAAAAGTTTGAGAATCACATGCTCTAGTACCTTCTTGGCCTCCTCTTCATTTTCGATCACATCACATCTGTGTGTGTGTCTTTAATGTAAAATATCTAATATCAAACTAAACTTTGGAACAAACACCAATGCTGATCAAAAATCACCACATTTGTATGTTTCCATGAATACCCTCGAAATACATTTCCAACATGTAAAATCCCCTTGTCCCCTAATATAGTTGCTCAGCGTTCATTTTTTTGGTGATCGGACTGTGAAATTCTACAGAAAAGGGAAACTGAAGTTGTATTTTTGTCACGTAGACTGTCATAGTAACAGTTAATCCCAAGAACTCCAACGACTACCAGCAGAATACCATTCATAAAGTGTTGATTTACACTTTTTACATGCCAATATATGATAATTATCTTAAATCTTACTTTAAAACTATCATCATCAAGGCTTATAAGTAATAAAATGATTTAGAACACACCATTTTATAACCTCAAAATATTTTGCAGTTGTTGGAGATGACAGGAAAAACACTTTCAGTTTGAGTCCTTGTTCAGTCCTCTGTGGGATTTCCATTATAATATTGTTAGTTCTGCTAGAGCCACTCGCCGAGCTGGGGAACCACTGCATCTAGTGCTCCGATTACCACTGGGACCACTGTTACCTTCACCCTCCACATCCACTCAAGCTCTTCTCTGAGCCCTTGGTACTCCTCAAGCTTCTTGTGTTCCTTCTTCCTGATGTTGCTGTCTTTTGGTATCACTACGTGTATCACTATGGCCATGCTTGTTTACCACTACTATGTCTGGTTGTTAGCTATCGCCATTCGGTCCATCTGTATCTGGAAGTCCCACAGGATCTTAGCTTTGTCATTCTCGACCACCATAGGGGGCGTCTAAAATTTTGACCTTGGGACTTCCAGGACGTACTGGGCACAGATGTTTCAGATTACTACGCCGGCCACCTTGATATGGCTTTCCATGTATGCCCTTCCTGCTAGCACCCTGCTGTTTGTGTGCTGGATTGTCTCAGGGGCATCTTTACTGGGGCTACTGCGGTCAGTTGGGTCTTCACCTAGCACGCCATGGCTGACTGATCTGGATAGGGACAGTGTCATAGGGCAACTCCAAGGTGGTGTCCCAAAAAAACAACTTGCAGCAGTATTGGGAGTGAGCTCTTTTGTACCATCTCCAAATTAAAGACCGAGTTAAATGACATGTGAGAGACAGCTTGAGAAGTTTCAGTCCACACATTAGTTTTTTCATAGCTGAATGAAATTATTTCAAGTGGATGTTTGTGTCGAGCATGATCATCCCCATAAAGAATTTAAATTGTCTAGTAAGAAACTGTAAAGTAACATTGACTCATCACTGAAGACTACAGGAGCTATGAATAGAAAAATATTATTTTAATTTCAAAGGTTTACAGTTGTATACAAGATGTTTCCTGTTGGGTCTGTGTTTCCACAAGCCCCGCTGGTTTAGAAACTTATTCTCGTTAACAACAAAAACAAGACGAACATCTTTTACTTGCTAAGCAAGGGAGACCCAGCCGGTGTCTCAGAAAGCACTCTGAATCCTACCGTAGACTGACCCCAACGACGGCCTCCGCTTGCTGCCTTTTATTGGGAAAACAGTTCACACAATACACATCACAGCAAAAGCACCTCCCACCGTGAACCCCCAAATGGTTCTAAGACAAGGCACTATGTGTGTGTATGTATAAACATCGGTATGCATGTGCAAGAACGTGTGTGTGTGTGTCATGTGAGAATATGTGTTTCTGTGTGCGTGACTTCCAACTGTTTCTAACAACAGTCTTAGTCATAAAATGGTAATCTCCCTCACACCCAATATATGGTTCAATTCCTGTATTGGTTCACCATGCATAACACAGTGAAGCCACAAAAGGGCAGGAAGCTTACCACACAAGAAACAGAATCTTCACAAGGGATGTGTCTACAATAATCCTCCCCCAGCACAGAGTAGCTGGAGAGGTGGTCAGAGACAAAGGAATGTCTTGATCCTATAGACTGAACTAACACCTTACAGATTTAAGAAACACAATGACAACATTCAATAATTAGACTTAACATTTCCAACCAGCTCATTTAAGATTCTGAAAATCTGAACTGCAGTACGATCACATTAGCCACATCAAACTCCTCTTTTGTTGTGCTTTTTATCCTGTGACTCATTTGTTCAGTCGTAACCATCTTCTGGCTTTTTTATCTCAACCAAAGAGATGTAAATGCCACAAAAGTGCACATAACTTTTGTAAGCTGAAGCAGAATTTCATAATGATTTGTGCACATTATTGATTGGTACATGTGGGTGGTCTCCTCATTACCACCATTCATTTGCCCATTCATGTCTCACTGTGTCTTGTGCTAAACTTGTCGTGGACCTACCTAGAGATGGAAAGCTTAGCACCATAACTAGAAAGAATGTTCAAACGAGCCACTACTGGTGCTGAAAATTTGGTAAAAAGCATCCCTGTGATGACAGTTAATGACTGAAATGCAGACTTCATTCATGGAACTGAAGAAGTTTAAATAAACATGAGTTTGAACTATTTTGGTAAAGAGAATATTTCATACATCCCTCACCTTTGTCACAATTATGCTGCCTTAGCACACTCAGAAATTAGTTTTTGAATGTGAAATATACGATTCATTAAATATTCTCAGACACTGTTTTCCCTCTGCAGATGTGCTCTCTCTTTATTTAGATTGTTTCTGACATTTACATTTGTCTTAGAAACTGTTTTTCAAAAGTTATGATTTTTAGAGGAACATATTCTAACTCTTTTAAAGAAGTAAACTGATAATATCATGCGCTGTACACGTGATGGACAGCAGCTACTCTGTCAGGCCTAAAATGAATAACAGGAAGCAGCCACAAAATTCACTTATTATCCCTTCAGATGCTCACCAACATGCTTGATCTCGTTTCTAAATTATCCAGTAATCCAGTTAAGTTGAAGTCTTATATAATTCAAATATTCCAGAAATATGTTATTAGCCTTCCAAAATATTTTCTACAGTTAAAAATACTGACTAAAGTATAAATAATGACTTTGACTCTCTATTTATCGTCTTTCCTTTTGTACACAGGCTGCTAAAAGAAACAGGTTATTAAAGCTGCAGTTTTAATTGTTACCAGGCACAAGTGTTTCTTAATGTGTTCATCAGCAGATGAGGTGTAAACAGACATACTGGTATAATATTGTGTTAATAATGTAAAACACTGTAAGTCTGTATATATTTTAGATGAACAATTTACTGTAGCATTGCTGTAGATAAATACAGGGTACACATATGGGCATAACAGTTTTAAACAGCAGTTTACTTTATATAAATGTGCTGAATAATGCTTTTTCATGTTAGCTGTAAGATTTGCTAATATGCTAAAAGGTTTATTAAATGCTTACAGAGATTTGTCTGATAGCAACTTGTGTTTATGTAAGATTGTGATGCATTATTGCAGATATTTTAGCTCAGTGGTTTTGGTGCTTTTTCACAAATCCATTTCATTTGGGCATCACATTTAACGTCGTTCCAGCTCTTGTAGAAGTTTGCTTTGGGATACAGCGCTGCACAGTCCTCATTGTTGATATCATTTGGCTCTCCATCATTCCAGTACCTGAAGCAAACGACAAGTTACACTGCTGAGACAGGATTTCCTTTCACGCGATTCACATTAATTGTTATTCACCTTTTATCTTATTCGTGTAATTTATCCTTCAGGAGGACAAACACAACTGACCGCTGATTTACACAAGTTTCACCGTGTGTATACGTTTAATCAGGCCTCCTCCTGACATTCTTTTGTTATTTCAAAAAATGATTACCTTGATATTAATTGTGTTTTAACTTTTGTACAGTTCTTTGTTGCTTTTATGTCTTCAAAAAGAACTATATAAACTTTACTTTACGTACTTTTCATTCTTAATGCGAAATTTCCAGCAAATCTTACATTACATGCTACATTAAATGAAAAGATGCACAGTATTCAAAGACCAAGAAGAAGTTTTTGTATATCTGTATGTGGAGAATGGACTAAGTGTATAATTAAAACAAAATGAAAACATAAAAAAGTAGAAGTACGAATGTATATGTTCATCTGTTGTATTCTATTTAATCAATTTAGCGTAGCAGGGGGACTGGAGCCTATCCCAGCCACCGTAGGCGGAAAAGGCCGGGTACACCCTTTGCTGTAGTAATGTAGATTGTTGTTTTGCATTGTGCATTGCATATTGCATTACATATGTATGTGTATATAGAGATGTGTATTTGTATGTATGCATATATGTGCATATATGTCATTGCTGTACATATAGATGATATTGAGCTGATAATTTTAATTGCATCAAAGGGATTGGATTAAATAAGTTTATAATGCCTCCTAACTCATGCTAGCAGGTAAAATAAGCTGTGTAGTGTTGTTGGAGACAACTCAATGTACAGTACACTTTTGTTGTTTATGTTTATATTTCTTCATGTTTGAAATGAAAGCAGTCATTTTAAATGACACTGAACTCTTACCCTTCAGCAAGTAATGTTCCATCCCACCATTTCCAAGTCCCTTCCTCATGGACGTCTCTCAGTCCGATCCAGAAGCCCATTGGGGGATGAGGCGTATCTTGATGATTTATTCTTCTGCTTATCCAATCCAGAAACTCAGGGTCTCTGTGAGGCATCCAAGGTATCACACGGCGAGGAACGTCAGACTCCCAGACCAGGTCACGAGTTTGTGTCGGGGCAGCTTGATGATTTATCAAATAATTGACTGTTGAGTTCTAACGAAAAAAGAAACAAAACCAAAGATAAATTTTCAGAAATCTGCATGAACACCGCTCCACAGAAATACTAACAAACCTCTTCATCTTGGCTGTCTATGATTATAAGATCTCCTCCCTGCAGCTGACAGAAATCTCTGGATTCCTTCCATGTTTTGAATTCATTTGACTTCAAGGGGAAGTAGTAACATACAGAGTTCATTAAAATCCATCCTGCAGGACAGTGTTTGCAGCCATCGCCTGTTTCCAAAAGAAAATACCACCATTATAGAAAATTATGAAACAAATCATTATGCTTTTACAATTGTATCATATACAGAAACAATGAAACCGGTCTTACTAAGCATTGATAAGCGTGTTCTCATGGCTTCAATTTCCTTTGTAACTTTTTCCATCTGACTTTTATAGTCATTGCTTCGTTTTGTCTGGTGTTCAAGCTCCCAGTTGGTTTGTGTCTGACGGCTCATCTCACTGTCCAGCTGCTTCCTGGCATCCTTCATGGTTTCCACTGCAGTCTTGTAAGTATCCTGGAGGTTGATGAGCTCTTTGCTGATGCGTTCGGTATCATCGAGCGTGAGGTGAGTGTCTGTGAGTTTGTTATCTGCAATTGTTGAATACGGTTACTGTTAGATTTGTATTGTTGATTGTCATTTATGCTTAGAAATATTTACTTATATATGCTTAGAGTTTTGTAATTAGTTGTAGATTGGTAGAGGTTTTGATCCTTGATAGTCTGCAAACTTTGTGTGTATTAGACAGCACTTTGGGAGCATGAGAGGTCATACCGTGTCTTATTGTTTTATGGTAGGATTAACGTAGTTGCGTCTGTTCTAGTCTAAGTGCTCTTTGTTTAGATGAACTGCAGGACTTCCTCACCGTGTTATCTAGGATGAACCATCTAGGGTGAGGCTACCCTCTTCCTGACCAAGGATGTTTGACCCTTTGATCAGCAGGCCACACACACACACACACACACACACACACACACACACACACAGGCAAGGTACTCTTTGTGTGTATGTAGACGTCATATGTTAATGAACTTATACATATTCATGTAACCTCAATAAAAGAACAGTGGTACGGGAGAACGGACGAGAGCAACTGGGGTCAAGCGAAGGAACGGCGTCTGTCCGGTTCTCTCCCATGCACGAGAAACATGAAGAAGCTTGCCTACTTGTGTCTTGCTTTGCAGTGTAATTACACTCAACAAAAATATAAACGCAACACCTTTGTTACTGCTCCCATTCCCCATGGGATGGACGTAGAGACCTAAAATTCATTCCAGATACACAATATAACCATCCCTCCCAAACAGTGGTCACAAATCAGTCCAAATGTGTGGTAGTGGGCACATCTGCCATATTGAGATAATCCATCCCACCTCACAGGTGTGCCACATCAGGATGCTGATCTGACATCATGAGTAGTGCACAGGTGTACCTCAGACTGCCCACAACAAAAGGCCACCCTGGAATGTGCAGTTTTGTCTCACAGCAAAATGCCACAGATGCCACAAGCAATGAGGGAGCATGCAATTGGCATGCTGACAGCAGGAATGTCAACCAGATCTGTCGCCCGTGCATTGAATGTTCATTTCTCAACCATAAGCCGTCTCCACAGGCGTTTCAGAGAATATGGCAGCACATCCAACCGGCCTCACCACCGCAGACCTCGTGTAACCACACCAGCCCAGGACCTCCACATCCAGCAGGTTCACCTCCAAGATCGTCTGAGACCAGCCACCCAGACAGCTGCTGGAACAATTGGTTTGCACAACCAAACAATTTCTGCACAAACTGTCAGAAACCGTCTCAGGGACGCTCAACTGCATGCCCGTCGTCCTCATCGGGGTCTTGACCTGACTCCAGCTCGTCGCCGTAACAGACTTGTGTGGGCAAATGCTCACATTCGATGGCGTCTGGCACGTTGGAGAGGTGTGCGCTTCACGGATGAATCATGGTTCACATTGTTCAGGGCAGATGGCAGCTGAGAATGTCCCAGTTCTTGCATGGCCAGCATACTCATGTCACCCATTGAGCATGTTCGGGATGTGCTTGACCGGCGTATACGACAGCGTGTACCAGTTCCCACGAATATCCAACAACCTCGCACAGCCATTGAAGTGGAGTGGACCAACATTCCACAGGCCACAATTGACAATCTGATAGACTCCATGCAACGATGTGTTGCACTGCATGAGGCAAATGGTGGTCACACCAGATACTGACCGGTTCTGGGTCCCCAGACCCCCAATAGCGCAAAAAACTGCACATTCCAGGGTGGCCTTTTGTTGTGGGCAGTCTGAGGTACACCTGTGCACTACTCATGATGTCAGATCAGCATCCTGATGTGGCACACCTGTGAGGTGGGATGGATTATCTCAATATAGCAGATGTGCCCACTACCACACATTTGGACTGATTTGTGACCACTGTTTGGGAGGGATGGTTATATTGTGTATCTGGAATGAATTTTAGGTCTCTACGTCCATCCCATGGGGAATGGGAGCAGTAACAAAGGTGTTGCGTTTATATTTTTGTTGAGTGTATATTGTCTTCAACGTTCCAGCGGATGGGTTCAAGCTACAAACCTATCAGTTACTTTTCTTATTCTTAAGTAACAATATTATAAATCAGGTGGTTTGACAACATTGTACATCATCAGTTTTATTTAGAAATGTTATTGTAGATTTCCAAGATTTGTACAAATCATTGTAGCATCAGTACAATGAATCAATAAGCAGGCTGGCAGCAAATTACTCACCTCAGTACATTTAGTCACAGACAGACACATTTTCCCTGTAACTGTGCCTTCGCTCTAACTTTTGTTGAAAATGTGATTTATGTGATGATTTTGCCTAATAGTAAACAGAAATATTTGTCTTTTTCAACATCCTTAGAAATGTTGCTCAACGGCTATCACCAAATGGAGCACTCTAAACTCTGCACTGGAAAAATATCCCTTACTTCACCTGTGATCACACACTTTGGTTTTCCAGTGCAAAGGCAGCTGGCAGAGGAATGGCCAAGGAAAGGAAAGACCTCACTGAGCGAAAAAGATGAGGACAAAAGCTTCAGTGCAGCTGGTCTCAGGGGATGAAGCAAAAAGCCTGATCAACTTAGCAAGGTGAGTTTAATGTTATGATTTATTTTACTTTTTGATGGTATGTTCAATGTATGTTACTTGAATTATACAATGCTCAAGTCATTTTCCACCTCAAGTTTCTCAATATTAAACCTTGTAGCTTTATTCATTTTATTTTTGGCTTAAAAGTAAACAAGAGCAACAAAAAAAACCCTAACTTTTTAAAATTCTTTCTGTTCCTCTTTTTTCCTCTGAACACATCCTGACCAGGCTCAATGAGACGGGGGAAGTAAACCGATACATTCACCCAGACTGCTGATGTTCCTGTATGAACTGAAAAACTTTGAACATCCAAGAAAAAGCTGAGGTTATTTTCTTTACAGCTCATATGGATCTTGATTGACTGAACATTCAGACTTTATTCAGGACTTTGCTACGGGGAGAGAGGTACCAACATGTGTGAGCACATGTGTACACACACACACACAGCATCTCACTTCATGCTTGCCCTTCCCCTAGGCTCTTGTGTCACTCAGCAGTTTGTCGTATTAATGTCTTATTTGTTGAAATTTACAGTCCATGAGCTTGACCTCATTCTCAGAGGCCTCGCTAATATTTAATGGTCATGAAATATGTCAAACTTTTCTCCATCCCTAAAGTTAAACAGCTGAGAGCATCTTTAGCGCAGCAGAGAAAAAGATGTGCACCTTGAACTGGAGTTTAAGTGATCCATTTAAGTGACCCTTATGCCTTTGCTGCTGATGAAAAGTTTTCATCAGAAGAAACACTTCTAATTGTACTTTGCTCCTCACTGTCTTTGAAAGGTAAGCGTAGACAAAACAAATCCAGTAGATGCAGTCTATCTGGAAGTTTAGTATAGTAATCTGTCTTTTTTGTTTTAATGTTTTATTTTGTGTTTTATTTATTTATTATATGGGGGGAAAGTCCTGTCAGCCTTGTGCTGAGAGGGCTGCAGTCATCGATCTTTTTTTTCTAATAAACCTAAATCACAGGATCACTGATCTGTTCAGTTTTATTCATGTAGCACCGCTTAGCTGTCAACAACTCTCATCTCAAGTCACTTCATATTGTAAGGTAGAGATCCTACAGTGTTAATCTAGGATAAAGTAGTCTCGGCTTCATTGATGAAGTAAATGCAATGATTCAACAGACAAGAATAGAAACCACAACTTATAAATTTGGCTGATGCAAAGAACCACGAGGCAGTGATTCCAGCTTAAATGTATTCTGGATATTGTTAAATATTCTTACATTTTTTGTTAATGTTTGCCAGGTATCCTGTTTAAAGACAACACTTTGAAGTCACTTCCATGTCTTTATATGAGGACAAACTCATTTCAAGGAAAATAAAAATGCTCAAATTTTAAAGATTGTAAATTATTGTTTAGTCATTTTATGAGGAGATGGATGCCGGCATATTTTAGTACAGTTTTGGAATTGACGAGAATAAAAAGAAAAGAATAAAAACCAATTTTGTTGTGTACTAAAACAAACAAACAAACAAACAAACAAAAAACAGAAGGTGTTCTGGCAGAAAAATTATCAGGACTTTTTTCAGTTTTTCTGAAGTTTTTTCTTTTTTTGGACTATTGGCAAAGTTTGATAACCATTTGCTAAATTGCAAAAAAGAAATTATTTAATAATGAAAACATTTCTGTGCACTATAACTCATAATGACTTACAGTGGATCCCCAGGCCAACATTCAGTATCAGAAGAACAGCAGCAAGAAGCGCCAGGCACGCTGCAGCCAGTCTGTGGCGTCTCCCAGGACTCATAGTGAACATGGACACTAAACAGGCAGAACATTATGAATTTTCAGCTTAAAGGCAGGTAACACACATATAACTTGGTTGAAGCTTTAAAAGAGTAAAATGTGATCATTTTAGGATTTAATATTACTGTTTACTAGTAGTTTATTTAACATCTGCTCTGTACTCTTTATTTATGATTAGAAAAATCCTGTTAGAGCATGTAAACCTTACACGTAGTTGTCTCAGATCATCAGGTCCTGTCATTAAATCTTAACTCTGTAAAACCTACTTCAATCAAAAGAATCAGAAACCTGACTATGGGAGTGCAATGAATAAAAATTTGAATTATTATACCTTGTATCCTGTTAGACTGATGGTAAGGAGGATACTCTTCCTTGTGCAAATCATCTTCATAGACAAGTGTCTGAAAACCACCATTTGTCTCCTCCATTCTCACTGTTCAGTCTAAATCAGTCATATGTCAGTGCATTTAAGCAACAATCTGTCACAGATTGTGACGCCTACTGCTGAGGTAATCAACAATCAGTTCCAGTGAAATCTGCTGTCTGTAAAAACAAAGAGGGAAGTGATAGATGTTATTAATGTGTGGGTTCCACAATTACTTTCCAGATACACGGGATGTGCATCTGCTGATCTCTTTGAGAGAATTCAAAGAATTTGTCCAAATCACAGCTGAAGGAACCCTCATCAGTGTTCAGTTGAATTTTATTTATATAATCAAATGTCACAAGAACAGTAGCTTCAAGGCACTTTATATTGTAAGCTATAGACCGCACAATAATAAGAGAAACTCCAACTATCATACAAGCCCCTGTGAGCAAGGGCTTTGGCGACAGTGGGAAGGGAAAACTCCCTTTTAACAGGAATAAACCTCCATCAGAACCAGGCTCAAGAGGGGCAGTCATCTGTTGGTGAGGAGAGGGAGACAGGACTGTGGAGCGAGTTGTTAATAATAAATCATTATTAAATGCAGAGAGGTGTATAAATACATGCTGAAGGAAAGGGAGTGAGAACTCAGTGCATCGTGGGAAGCTCCCAGCAGCCTGTTTCTACAGCAGCATAACTAAGGGAGGATTTAGAGTCACCTGATCCAGCCCAAACTATAAGCTTTGTCAAAACAAGTCTTAAGACTAATCTTCAAAGCAGAGAGGGTGTCTGCCTCCTGAATCAAAGCTGGGAGCTGGTTCCACAGAAGAGTGGCCTGAAAACTGAAGGCTCTGCCTCCCATTCCACACATTTAAATATCCTAGTAACATGAGAGCGAATTGCTGCAGTGGGGAGATATGGTACTATAAGATCTTTAAAATCATATAGAGCCTGATTATACATCAATAATAATCAATTTCATTTATTAATGCTAAATCTTAGAAGACCCTCAGCTCACTCTTCAGTTAGCAGCTTTACATAATCTGTGAAGTGTTACGCCATGAACAAACCAAACAACTGGTTTGGCGTAAGCTAACAGTAATTTTATTGATGTCGCAAATTCCCGTTAAAGACTTGTGACACTGACCAATAATTTGCAGTACTGCTTGCTATTTTTTTCATGATTGCTGGTTTCTGATGTGTTAGGTTACAAATTACTTAGAAGCCAATTGAAGCTCAAACTTTTAATTTAAGCTGTCAAGTTAGCTCACTTATAAAAAACAACTTATTTAATATTTTCTGCTGAAAATCTAATGTGAATGCTGAAAGATTTTTGATATATGAGATGATATGTTTTTGTGAGAAAATATCAGCCAAAATATCAACTATAGTTTTTGGTTAAGCTTTTACCGTATATCATGATGTGGGACAGCAAACAAAATACATTAGAGCAAATAGCAGTACCAAACACTGAATATAATACTGATTGTTTTTTTTTTTAAGAAAAAGAAAGAAAGCAAAAATTTGAGTTGACAGGCATCAAAATCAAGAAGGTTTTGGTCTCAAATGATGTTGTCAGCACTGAGCTGAATGCATCACTTGAAAAAAAAAACAATGATCAAAATCATCTATAGGTAGATTTTTAAGTTTGAAAGTGTTTAAAAGTTATTTTAAAACACACTGTGGGGGCTGTGTTTGAAGCAGATTTAGTCTGGCCCAGATATTTTTGGGGCACACAGATGTACCTAGTAAAATTGCATGTCAATATGAGAGTGAGGAGAGGGAGAGTGTTTTACTCTTTGATTTTTTTCAGTGTTACATTTAGATTGTTACTTTACTTTCTAGTATTTTTGAGCTCTCACAACTTCACAAGTACAGATGTTAGTCACATAGATTTTAAAGCCTTAAAAACACATTTAATCAATTAACAATTTAAAAGTGCAACCAAATCAAATTTTGATCAATTCACATTGTTCCAAATATATTATATTTTCAGTATCAAACCTTCACCAGTTTTAAGTCTCTGGCATAGATTAAGAGAAACAAGCACCAGTACTGGGTGTCATGTCTGTTTTGCACCAATTAACAGGAGAAAACTTCAATAAGTGCGTTTTGGTTAAATTAAAATTCACCAAATAAACGTACAATATTGGTTTTCAGATGATCTGAAACAAGAAGTTCCGTGTTTGAGCATTAAAAAAAAAAAGTCTTCTGCGAACAATAAAAACCTGAGCACAAGTGTTAAAATCAGAGGCGATTTTTAGCCCATTTTTGGAGAGTGCTTCAGCACAAATGAATCAAAGCACCCCCAAAGATTTCTTACTTTTTTGACAATATTTGCTGTTTGTGTGACACACTACTAAAAATATAAAAAGCATACAGTACTTGGTTGGACGTAACACTTTAGCAATAAAATTATAGATTAAAAAAAAGGAGCCACATTCAGGTAAACGTGTAAAATCAAATGATCCGTTAATCAAGAATAATGTCGAATCAGTGTTTCAATATTTATATATTTTATTACATGTTCATGTGGTTTGGTTATTTGCCTTTTGGTTGAAAGTACACTGAGAGAGGACTTTTTGTTAGCGATCTTAATAGTATTTTTTTATATTAATTTAATTTTTCATCTAATTGAATACAATCTATTTGTGTATGATTGTCAGTCCGAAGAGGGAGAGAGGAAAGAGGGAACGTGAGGAGAAAGTACAAGGTCAGGAAGAACCAGGTAAGAAAACAGACAGGGAGCAGTGACAGGCACAACAGAAACTGAAAAAAACCTGATTTTACTCATATAACATTATAATTGATCAGGGAGATGTCATGGTCCTGGGTCTCTTGACCCAGCGTTTTAAGTTTGAGTTTATTTTGTTCATTAGGTTATCTAAGTTCATTTGGTTATTAGACTCCTTGTGTTTTCTTCCCCTGTATTTAAGCTTCCCCTCACCCTTCGTGTTTCATGCTGCGTGTCTTATGTTATCAAGTTTGTATTATTATGCCTAAGTGTTTCTAGTTATTATTTTCCCCTCGTGTTTCCAACCATGTTAAATCTCCCCTGCTCTTCATGCGTTTCATGTCTGTGTCTTACGTTGTCAAGTTCGGGTTGTCATGTCTATGTCTCATTATGTTTCCTGTTTTATTGTGAAGAGGTCTGGTGTTCTGTGTTCATCATGTTCAGTTTTACTCTCCCACTGTGACGTCATTATGTTCATGTGTGCCAGCTGTTTCCTCATGTGTCTCCACTTCCCCTAATCACCTCCTGTGTATTTAAGTCCTCTGTTTTCAGTGTGTGATTGTCAGGTTGTCTGTTGTCCACGCCATGCTTCTCATGCCATGCTTCCAAGTTTCTTGCCTAGGTTTTTCTTATTGCTTGTTTAGATTCCCCAGTTTAGGTTTGTGTTAATTTTGCTTCAGTTTGCCTTGCCCTTTGTTTGTACCTCTTCTACTAGCCTTATTAAACGGCTCGCCTTTTGTTAACATTTCAAGTTCTGTTCCCTGTTCCTTGGCGTCTGCGTTTTGGGTCCTTTTTCAATTCATACAGTCTGCCCTCGCCAGACTGTGACAGGAGATTAAAATTAATGATATATTTTTATGTGGTTCAGCCACAACTCTACTAAAACCTCAGCCAGTAATAGGTCGGCCAACGTTTGCACCGTCCAGTTGTCTGTATGACTGCTGCAGTACGTGCATCACATTTGCTCACTATCAGAAAGAGCCAAACAGCCCTGGTGGAGTGAGGAGCTGTAAAGAGAAGCAGATGCTCTGTTTCTAAAAATGTTTTAAGCTTGTTTCAAAGATTCTGTACTGCAGCTTTAAATGTTTTCCAAAAGCACACAGACACTTATCAGTGTTTCTCAAACTTTTTACAGTGTGGACCACCTGATAAAAATGTCAAGCTCTCCTAAGGACCACTATGAAAGCATGAAACTCATAAATCTTACAACACAAAATTAGTATCTGCAATAAAGATTTTTTTCATGCATTGTATACATTCTACCACAGGCAGAGTTGCCTCCATTTTTATATTCTTTTTTTTTTAATATATTTTGTAATAATTTATTCTGTTTTTGGAGTGTTTTTTATGTATCTGTATTATATTATACAAACACATTAAAAGTGAATCTCTGTCCAAAAAATGCACTCAGTTTACTTCTTACTCACTATGAGCATCATTCATTATTCTCCCAGTAATTAAGGTTAGGATGTTTTTTCCTTTTTTATTCCAATCCATTCTTCTTTTGCAGCATTTAAATAACCTTTATCAGATTTGATGGTTTTGTTACAGACTTTTCAAAAAAGTGTTTTGCTTTTCTTTCACAAATGTGGGATTAAATTGTTAAAATGTACAAAACAGTGATGTCATGTTTTATGATGAGGACCCAGGCAGAGAGACTTGATGAATTTAAGAATCTTATGATTTAATAAAGAAATTTGCAGACTTGCACAGAGATGGTAAAATTATCATGACTGATAACAGAGAAGAAGACAACAGACGATGAGGACAGGGAGGATGCAGGGACCGAAAGAGACAGGGAAGAAGTCTCATTGTGACGAGTAAAGTGTATCTTGGCTGGCTGGGCAGCTCTCTGGGTGCTCAACACCCCCAAAGCTCTGATCCTAGAATTGCCCCTGGTTAAAATACAGTTAAAAGATACAGGTCAAAATTCATTTTAAAAATCCAAACACAAGTCTTCAATGTATTTATTAATGTTCAAACCTGCACTGTAATATACTCTGCAAGACTAGAGGACATAGCAACAACTGCTATAGTACAATCAGGATCATCTGAAGTAATTGCTTGAGCAGTAGAGTTTATCTTAACCTCTTAAGACCTGAACTCTTTAATGGCATGCATTTTTGATTTCTCTTTGCTATTTTGGCTGATTGGGACCTGATGAATGTAAAAACAAAGAATTACGTGATTTTTTTATTTATTTTTTCCTGAGAAAAATGAGATCCACATATCAGGACATCCCCTTTAAATTTCGATAAAACAGTGGCAGTATAATGTCCTCGTAAGTGGATATCAGGCCCTTGTAGAGCAAAATGTAGTATTTTGGTTTAGACAACCCAAAATGTGATGTCCACATATGTGGACGCCAGGTCCTAGGAGGTTGATGGCGTTTCACATATCCAGTGTAAGTTATGCCAGTTGCATCTTCCATCAAAACGAGTCTTCCAGGGATTAAAGATGGAGGAAACTGCAACCCCGCAATCCTCTCCGTGGGTTCCCTGGTCATTGGGTTCGCCATCCATCCAGTACCTGAGAAAAATTCTAATTCATTTAAAAATATGTTTAATGAATTATCAAACAAGAAAAATATTGTTTCAGCTCTCACCGTTGCTCGACCTCTGTGACATTATTAATCCAAACCCATCTGTTCTCAGTCTCTATGTCAGTGATACCGATCCAGAATCCGCTTTGCCACCACTGATCACTGGTTTTCATATTTTGGATGTTGCTACTGATAAATTTCTGTGTAACCAAAAAGAAAAAAAAATCAGTATATTTGAATATTTATTTAGCTTCAATTTTGTCTAAGCTCAGTCTTTCCTTTTATGATGCTGGATTTTATAAGTAATGAATTATAATGCATTTGTTGGCACTCTGCCTTCTGTAGAGCAGCAAAACCCATTTTGTTCTACATCTGTGTTCTTCTCCTGATGTATCGTAGGGTGAATCTACCTCAGTTTGTGCCTAAATTTCTAAACCTTCCCAGTCAGCATTACTTTGTGTTCATTGCTAATACAGTACTGCTAACATGATTAGCCTGTTTGATTGCTGTTAGTAACAGAATGAACTATTGGTTTTCCTATCATGCTTGCTGGCTGTTTGTAGTGTGATGATCTTGTAACAACGATGATGCAAATAAATAATAAAAACATCATATACTTAAAATAAGGTGTGACTGTTTGGAATAATAAAGTTCTTAAGTCTTCATTTTAGCAAAGTTCAAATCCATGTTAATGACTTTCTGTCAAGCTGTTAACTTGTGTTGTTTAGTTACTTTTTGTCAATTTTCCTCTCTTGCTTATTTTCAACCCACCTGCTCTTCCTGGTTATCGATCACAACCAGGTCAGAGCCACGACTAACACAGTCCTCTCTGCTCTCATGCCAGTTCTTTTTGACAGTAGAGGACTCGGTGTAGGAGAAGAAATAGCAGGACGAGTTGAAAAGAGCCCAACCAGGGAGGCATCCGCCACAAGATCCCTCTGAGAGAAACAAAGGATATCTCATCTTCTCAAGTTAACACAAGAAAACATAAATAAGGATAAAAGTTTCTCACCTAAAGCTGATACATTGGACTTCAGGTTTGCCTTCTCCACTTGCAGTGCTTGCATCTGTTTCTGATAACCATCATTGACGGTCTTCAGCTGCTCAATTTTCACCTTTACTTCTTTGTGGTTGTTGATCGCGCTCTCTAACGCCTTCTTGGCCTCCTCTTCAGCTTCGATCACATCGCTGTGGTTGCTTCGGAGATAGTCGAGCTCATTGAAGAGCTGTGTTACAGCTGGGTTGGAAATGTGCAAGGAGCCCTCTTTGACTTTGGCACCTAAACAGGGAAACATTGCATTTTATATTAGATTAGATTATGTAAGGCATGTAAAGATCAACTAAATGTTGGATATTATAGCAAAACTGTTTAAAAATGATTGTCATGTTGAAATGGATGGGGTCAAATTACATTTCTAAGTATTTTGCAATCAAGAAAAAAAAAGGTATCAGTTCTCCTTATGGGATTACTCAGGGTCGACGTGCATTGTGAAATTCTACACAATAGAGAAAATAAAATTGTAAGGTCACACAAACTCTAATACTCACAGTTAATCCCAAGAACAACAGCGACTATCAGCAGAACTGCATTCAAGAGTCCCAGACACAGAATAACCCACTGGTTAAATCCATCTCCACCTATAATACAGGGTCACACATACATTTTAAAAAGACAAAATGTGTCTGAATTCAGACAATATTGCTTTTTGGGAGGAAAGGTTTTAGATAAATAAAACAATCTGAATTCATTTTTAATCAGGTTGTTGTTGACAGCAGCCGACAGCTCAAGGGTGCAGCAAATAAATGAAAAACCAGAAATTCGGATGACGTAACTCAGAAGGTATTTTAGCTCATTTTGAGTTGCACACTTTTAAATATATAAAATGTCATATTTGATGATCATGATGATGAACCTGAACTACTTTCCTTGTTTCTTATTAGTAAGGATTCTTCAATCATGAAAATCTAAACACTGATAAATTCAACAGAAAGTATAATAGAAGGCAACATATAATTTTAAGACCATACCGTTTCTAAATATTTTATAGTTGTTGAAGGAAACTGATCCTGTCTTCCTCTGTGTCTCCATTGCACTGCTGCAGGTTTTGTGCACTGCTCTGCTTTCTTCTGCCTTAAATACACGTGTGGGCATGTCCCATAGTCTCATTTCCTCGGTGTCCTATGAAGCTTTTATTAGTTTATTTTTTCATAGCCTAGAAAGAAAATCCAAATGTGATACAAGATCAACCAAACCAGTTCTGTTTGTACGATGACATAGTTTGCACTGTAAAAAAAAAATTGAAACTCTAACCCTTGAAGCTCAGTTTTTGTTTTTTGTTTTTTTTTTGCACAGAGCAACTATTAATAAAAAATGAAATGTGTATGTGTGTGTGATCTATTTATTATTATTTGATGTTTTTAGTTAAAAACTGTTGTCAGCTTACCTGGAAACCCTTTAATTAGAAAGAATGTGCAAATACTTACCAGTTGGTCCAATAGTGGTGCTTGCAGATTTGCCATGCTGTCAGATACAGTTTCAATAGCAACCTGTGTTCAAGAAAAAAGGTTTGCTGCTGCAAAAGCACAGAAACCATAGCAGAAGCAGAAAAAAACACACAGTGACACATTCAGTTAGAACACACATTACCTTGTACCTTTTTTCTCCCTCACAACACGGATGAATCCTCCTCTTCTTTTAAGCATGTCTTAGTGTAATCCTTGGTGTTTCCATTTCTGTCACTTCTGCAGCTCTTTCATAATGTCTCCCAAAATCACTTATGGTGTGGTGTTTAAGTTGCAATGCATTTCACCTCTCAGGCCCATCATATAAATCATTCTTTTGGCATTTAACAATTACTTAAAGAGGTCATGTTTCACTTGTAAAGTATGGATATGGGTACGTTTGCACATGACGAGTTTATCTCTTACAAGTTGGGAGGAGACTAAAGAAGTCACACAAACTTTTGAGGTGGAGGCACAGCGACTGTTTACAAATAGGATTACAAATGTAAGCAGTGTTTTCTACAGCCTTCATTCTCCAGCTTCGGACTTACTTACCTCGTTTGAGGTGAGTCGTACAAACCCGGTTTTCTGCGCTGTCATCTATCGTCCCCCGAAATACAATAAGAACTTCATAAGTGATTTCTCTGATATTTTTTTAGCTGGGATTATACCCAACTATGATAGTGTTCTTATTGTTGGAGATTTCAATATACATGTATGTTGTCTTGATAAGCCACTGGTAAAGGACTTTTTAAGCCTTATTGACTCTTTTAGCCTGGTACAGTCCGTACGTGGCCCTACACATGAGCACGGACACACACTGGACCTTGTTCTGTCATATGGTCTGCCTTTCACTGACTTGGAGATTTGTGACTGTGCACTCTCAGATCATATGCCTGTGTTATTCAATGTTGGTTTTACACATACTGTAGTTAAATCTGGTGCTGCTACTCGGAGCTGTGGGGTTATTAACCCCGCCACTGCCACGCAGTTTTCTGCTGCTTTTAATCAGCTCGGTGGACCTTCTGACTTCGTCTCCTCTGATACAGAAGAACTTAATTCCTGGTTTTATTCTTGCTGTCAAACCATCTTGGATTCTCTGGCTCCTTTAAAAACCAGGCAGCCCAAGGCCAAACCTGAGCCTTGGTTTAATGAGAGCAGTCGTGCTGTTAAGAGGGAATGTCGTCGAGCAGAACGGAGGTGGAAAAAGGATAAACTGCATGTATCATTTCAAATTCTCAAAGACTGCTGGCATCGCTACCAGAACACTGTTAAAGAGGCAAAAAGGGAATATTTTGCAAATATTATTTCTTCCAACTGTCATAAACCACGTGTGTTATTCAAGACCATTGACACTGTTCTTAATACTCCATTGAATGTCTGTTTGGAAGTTTCTCCTGAGATTTGAACTGATTTTCTGAACTTTTTTATTTAAGGTCATCACCAGCAGGGCTCTTATCACAGCTCCTGACTCTGACCCCTCAGTCTCTGTCCCTTACGCTGTTGTTTTCACTCAGTTTGAGCTTGTGACGCTCTCCACTTTAGAGGATGTGGTTCGCCATATTAAGCCCACAGGTTCCACTCGGGATCCTGTCCCTCCACAATTCTTTAAAGAAATTTTTCCTAGTATAGGACAGTATGTCCTTGACATTATTAAAAGCAGTCTGTCTTCTGGTATGGTTCCTGCAAATTTCAAACATGCAGTAGTGCAGCCACTGCTTAAGAAACCTGGCCTTGATCACACAGTTTTAGCGAACTATAGGCCTATTTCCAAGCTGCCTTTAGTCTCCAAGGTTTTAGAGAAAATTGTTTTTAGTCAACTGAAAGATTTTCTAGATGAAAATGGAATCTTTGAGGTTTTTCAGTCAGGTTTTAAAACCCTTCATAGCACAGAATCTGCATTATTAAGGGTTTTTAATAACATCCTTCTGGCATGTGATTCTGGTAACCATGTTGTTCTGGTCTTGCTTGACCTAACTGCTGCCACTGACACAGTAGACCACAATATTTTAATTTCTCAATTAAATGATGTAGTGGGTATTGGTGGCACTGGACTTAATTGGTTTAGGTCTTATCTGTCAGATTGGTGCAGGGATAGCTCAGTAGGTAGAGTGGTTGCCCCATGATCGGAAGGTCGGGGGTTCGACTCCACTGAACAGCTACCCTGAGGCACCCGAGCAAGGTACCGTCCCTACACACTGCTCCCCGGGCTCCCCCTGCATTGGTGGCTGCCCACTGCTTCACTGGGTGAATGGGTTAAATGCAGAGGAGTAATTTCCCAACGGGGACTAACACATACACATTATTATTATTATTATTATTATTGTGGCTCAAGAGTTGGAAGTTCGTCATGTAATTGGACGGTTGCCAGTTCGAGCCCCGGCTCGGGGCACTTCACCCAATGCCTACTGGTGGTGGTCAGAGGGCCCGGTGGCGCCAGTGTTCGGCAGCCTCGCCTCCGTCTGTGGCTACAATGTAGCTGCCATCACCAGTGTGTGAATGGGTGGATGACTGATTGTGTTCTCAGGGACTAGAAAAGCGCTACACAAATACAGGCGATTGTCAGATAGAACTTTCTCTGTCAGCCTTCTCGGTTCCGAATCATCTTCTGCTCCTCGTCCCACAGGGCTCAATTTAGGGCCACTGCTCTTTTTACTGTATCTATTGCCTCTGGGTTCTATCCTTAGAAGGCATGGGATCTCATTTCATTGTTATGCCGATGACTGACAAATTTATTTGCCACTAAAGCACAAGGATGGTATCTCCATAAAACCTCTCTTGACATGTCTAGATGACATTAAAGCTTGGTTGGCTCTAAACTTTGTAAATTTTAACAAAAAGAAAACAGAAGTGTTGGTGTTTGGACCCAGTGGTCCCTGTGAGTCCTCCTCTGTTGTTTTAGGATCCCTGGAAGTCTATTTTAAACCTGTTGTTACTGACCTTGGTTTTAAGTTGGACAGTGATTTTAAATTGGACAACCAAATCAGAGCAGTGAAATCCAGTTTTTATCATTTCAGGCGACTGGCAAGAGTAAAATCTTGTCTTTCGAGGCAGCACCTTGACACAGTGATCCATGCTTTTATTTCTTCCCGCCTGGACTGTAACTCACTTTATGTGGGGGTCAGTCAGTCGTTGCTCTCACGTCTGCAGTTGGTTCAAAATGCGGCTGCACGACTCCTAACAGGAACTCGAAAAAGAGAGCATATAACCCCTGTGCTAGCCTCTCTGCACTGGCTGCCTGTGTCTTTTAGAGTTCGTTTTAAAATTCTCATGTTTGTTTTTAAATGCCTTCACAGTCTTGCCCCGCCTTACCTCTCTGAGCTTCTTCATCCCCACATACCCTGTCGGTCTCTCAGGTCAGCTGACCAGCTGCTCCTGGAGATACCGAGATCCAGGAGGAAGCTCAGAGGGGGCGGGGCCTTCTCTATCGTGGCTCCTAAATTATGGAATAATTTGCCCATGCACGTTAGAGAGGCCCTTTCACTGTCCACTTTTAAATCGCGTCTTAAAACCCACTTTTATTCCTTGGCTTTTAACCTCAGTGAGACTCAGTTTCTCTTTTAATTGAAGTAGTTATTTAATTAATGATTTCACTCTTCATTTATTTGGTTTTTATTTATATTTCATGTAATTTTATTTTACAGTTCCAATGTACAGCACTTTGTGTCAGCTGTGGTTGTTTTAAAGTGCTTTATAAATAAAGTTGATGATGATGATGAAACATGGTTTACTAGGGTTTGTAATTAATTGACTTTGCAGAGAGTTGAAGGCCAGCATCCCAATGCAAAACACATAGAAGGATGCATCTTCTATAGTTATTACATGTTATTACAGGCAGCCAAGTTTCCTTTCGCAGTAAGTGATGGGACACAGTTACACTGTCAGCCAGTATACTCCTGTCATGATTATTTCTGTGGCTAATGATAATAGGAGTATTAGGAGCAGTAAAGAGTCGTCATATTACCAGTTATAGCTGCAACCACAGCCAGACAACAACTGTGCTCATGACATAAAGGGTGGACACGCTGAGAGAGAGCGATAGAGACAGTGAGAGGTACAGAAAACAAAGTGAAGACAAGGTGAAACCACCTTATGCATGTTATGATTTAAAGAATATGTGATAGTTTACATATCTAAGACTGTATGCCTTATTAGACATTTTAGCTCATGGATTCTGGTGCTTTTTCACAAATCCATTTCCTTCTGACTCCACATCTAACATCATTCCAAGCTTTGAAGAAGTTTACTCTGGGATACACGGCTGCACAGTCTTCATCATTGAGATTGTTCGGCTCTCCATCGTTCCAGTACCTGAAGTAAAAGACACTTTACTTTACAGAGCTAACATTTTCTTTCAATCCATCCACTTTTTCATCTTCCCTCTCAGCCACATATATTATTGAGGAGAAGTTCATTTTTTGTAAGTGGCAGTTTCACTGTGTGTAGCATACTGAACTCTTACCCTTGAACAAGAAATCTTCCATCCAACCATTTCCAAGTCCCTTCCTCCTTGGAATCACTCAGTCCGATCCAGAAGTCTGTCGAGAGCTGGGAGGCATCTTGATGATTTATTAGGAAATTTACTGTCGAGTTCTAACAAAAAAAAAAGATTAAAATTAATTTTAAAAAATCAATATGAATGGTCTCCACAGAAATACTAACAAACCTCTTTGTCTTGGCTGTCTATGATTATAAGATCTCCTCCCTGCAGCTGACAGAAATCTCTGGATTCCTTCCATGTTTTCATTTCATTTGATTTCAAGGAGAAGTAGTAACATACAGAGTTCATTAAAATCCATCCCACAGGACAGCGTTTGCAGCCATCGCCTGTTTCCAAAAGATAATGCCACTATTATAGAAAATTATGAAACAAATCATTTTTATTATATACAGAAATAATAAAACAGGTTTTACTATGCATTGACAAGCGTGATCTTGAAGTTTCAATTTCCTTTGTGATTTTTTCCATCTGACTTTTATAGTCATTGCTTCGTTTTGTCTGGTGTTCAAGCTCCCAGTTGGTTTGTGTCTGACGGCTCATCTCACTGTCCAGCTGCTTCCTGGCATCCTTCATGATTTCCACTGCAGTCTTGTAAGTGTCCTGGAGGTTGATGAGCTCTTTGCTGATGCGTTCGGTATCATCGAGGGTGAGGTGAGTGTCTGTGAGTTTGTTATCTGCAAGATAACAAGACAGTGTTACTACACAATAGGGTTAGTTCTTTTTACCGTTTTTCTTATTCGTAAATAACATTATTTACTGACACTGACAAACAACAATCATATTTTAGTACATAGTACAAATAATTTTAGCCATTTTTTATTTATTAACATTTTTTTGTTTTTGTTCTGGATTGTTAACAAAATTCAGTATCTGTTTGATAATAAGAATGATTCTGTGCATTGCACGTCCTCAGACTGACTTACAATGGACTCCCAGGCCAATATCAACTATCAGCAAAACAGCAGCGAGTAGGGCCAGGCTCACTGCAGCCAGTCTGTGACATCTCCCAGGACTCATAGTGAACATGGACACTATACAGAGAAGAAGAATTTTCAGCTTAATGACAATGACAAATCTTTCGTGACCAACACTTGCTTGAAGTACATGTTATAAAGGCAACTTAATGTATCTTTTTACTACTTGCTGAACTTAAATCATGTGTAGTGACAGGCCCAAAAGAAGCAGTCCAAAACAGTGAGTCTTTAATATTAATACAAAGCCCAATTTAAAAAAAGTGTTAAAAGTGCAGAAATGATAAATAAGAACACGAGAGCCAAGCAGCGCTGCACACAGGAAACAGACATGTTTCCAAATATGAAATATACTGCAACAACAAAGAAACGGAGAATCAGAACAAAACAGAACTCAATGAGGATGGGAAACAGGTGAGGCATGAGATGCAGGTGAAACTAATTAACAGTCTAGGAATGAAGGGAGGGAAGCAAAACGAACCTAAAATACAAAACAAGAAAGAATGACCAGAACAAAGAAACAAGGGCACATAAACACAGGACGAGACAAGGGGGAAGTAAGAGAGAAAGTAATAAAGGAACAAAACACAAATACTCCAAAATAGGAAAGTGAATTTAAATAAAGATCAAACATCAGACTAGAATAAACCACTCAAACTCTACAAATACTATACTATCAAGAACTGCTTGGTGCCTGAAAGTTTTGAATACTTAATTGTGAGAATTAAGTATTCAACTTATTTCAACTTATTTTAGCAGTGGTATGTTCAAACTTGGTCAAAATAACCAACAGACACCCGAATCAGACTACGGAAGCCCATTAAACACAAATTTAATTTATTATACCTTGGTGCCTGTTAGACTGATGATGATGAGGATGCTCTTCATCGTAGAAGTCTTCTTCACAAATGAATTCCTTAAATCCACCATTAAAATTACCACCCGTGGGTTCTCTCCTCTCCTCCATTCTCACTGTTCAGTCAACATCGGTCATATGTGCATTTGAATAACAACTGGCCTGAGATAACGCAACCTGAACTTGCTGATTTCATCAAAAATTATTGAACACAATCAATTCCAGTAAAATGTGGAATGTGTGGGGGGAAAAAAGGAGAAGTGAAATAGTTGTTATTCATTTTGCTGCAGCATTCACTTTTCAAACACAGAGGATTTGAATGTGCTGACTCTTATAGCCGAATTAACCGTCTTAGATGCTGGACAGTAATAATGTTTTCTGCACTGTCCATGAGTAACCCCCCACCCGCAACATACACACACACACATTAATTTTTTAACAAGAATGCCAGGTTCTGAAATTATTTAAACACAACCTGAGACAAAGGACAACACAACATACACAGAGGTTCCCAAAGTGTGGGGCCCACCCCGTGTGTGTGTGTGTGTGTGTGTGTGTGTGTGTGTGTGTGTGTGTGTGTGTGTGTGTGTGTGTGTGTGTGTGTGTGTGTGTGTGTAGGGGAGGCTGAGGCAACTCTTGGTTATCCCTGTGTTTGGAGCAGGCGCTGGGCTCTCCAAATCACAGAACAAACACTTCCTTTAATGACTAACTACTCCGGAGATGTTAGTTCTAAAGTTACAGTGGGATCCAAATAATATCAGGCTGATCCTGCCACAATTTTTTCCCTCTGTTCAAATCACGAACAAATAGTATCCCACAGTTGTTTGTGTTTTTGAACCCATTTTGCACAAAAAACAAAACAAAAACAAAAAAAAAACTGAGTTTTTAAAAATCTCAATCGAAACAAAAAGGAGCACAAGAGTCCAAACACACAAGAAAACAGTCCAAGAACACAGGAAAACAGATCAAAAACAAAACCAAATCAGAACCCAACAAGAGTCCATGAAAAGTTCAGGGGGCCGACCGTGCACATGGCAATGGCGGCGACGGGCAAACAGTTCTGGAGGTCAACCGTGCACACGGCAACAGCGGCGGAGGCAAAACCAATCAGGCGGCCGACCACTTGGAAGGTTGTGGCAGCCACTGAGCAGGTCCGGAGGTCGGCCGCGATGCCAGCGGCGGCGCCGAAATCTTTCCGGAGGCCGTCCCCGAAGGCCATGATGCCAACTTAGAGGCCCGGAAAACAGCCAGCAGAGGCGAGGCAGAACGGGTCGAGCTGGCTCTGGCGGTGGTGTAGCAACCGCAGGACCAGACAAGGCCGGACCAGGCGAGGCTGGACCAGGCGTGGATGAAGACACGGAGGCCGGACCAGGCGTGGATGAAGGGACGGCTGCGGAACCTGACGGCATCATCACCTGCAGCATCATCACCTGCAGCCAAGTGGTCGGCTGCAGGTGATGATGCTGCAGGCGGTGATGTGAAAGTCGCGGGGGATGATTCAGCAGGTGACGGCTAAACCGATTTCCCCGGACCATCAGCAGATGTGAGGATGTGCTGGCTGGGTCCTCCGGGACCCTCAGTTAACGAGGAGTGATGCTGGACGGGCCCCTCGGACCCTCCAGCAGATGAGGCATGAGGCTGGACGGGCGACTCAGGCCCTCCAGCTGGTGAGAAAGGAGGCTGGACAGGCGACTCGGACCCTCCAGCAGACGTGGCATGAGGCTGGGCGGGCCCCTCGATCAGCTGACCGAGCTGAAGGTGGCTGCTGGGCAGCTGACCGAGCTGAAGGTGGCTGCTGGGCAGCTGACCTAGCTGAAGGTGGTTGCTGATCAGCTGACCGAGCTGAAGGTGGTTGCTGATCAGCTGACCGAGCTGAAGGTGGTTGCTGATCAGCTGACCGAGCTGAAGGTGGTTGCTGATCAGCTGACCGAGCTGAAGGTGGTTGTTGGGTAGCTGACCGAGCTGAAGGTGGCTGCTGGGCAGCTAACTGAACTGAAGGCCGGGAAACACACTGTTCATTTTTAAACATGGGCACAGGAGTAGGCACAACAACTTCTGAATGAACTACTCCTGAGTTACCTGGCTGGGGCTTATGAATATCTGGGATGACACACATGTTGTTTGCGCTCACAGATGTGTTGAGTTGAGGACGAACAGCGGTCTCTACATGCTTGACAGGTTTTGAAGCATGACAATCATCCAGAACATTCCTAGCCGGCTGTTCAGACAAAATCCCAGACTCCTGCTGGGACTGAATGCTGGCGGCGCATCCGCCACTTGCCAGTTGAAATGGGATCAGGGCTGGCAAAAGGTGACATGGAGAAACACTGCTGCGGAGTGGAAATGAAAACTGCACCAGTCCGTACTACAGGAGAAAAGGGAAGTGTGGTTGGGTGGTGATGCCTAGGGTTGCATTTCTTCTTTAAGGATGGATCAAACGATTTGGCGACAAATCTTGGCAAAAACTGCCGCTGACGTCGAGAACACCACGTGGTGAGGGCCTCCAGGAGGGTAGCTGAATCGTCCATTCCTGGACCGCTCATGCCAAACAGTTCGAAGGCTAGCCTCGCTCTTAGAGCTGTTATTATTTGCTTAAGTCCATTTATGTTCAGAAAACTGACGGTGGAGGCAGTGGACGACAAAAAATTATCAAAAAACACTACCTCCAGCTGCCTCTTGTAGGGGCTCACAGCGTGGATTATCCTCCAACAGTAATCCCATAGGTGCGCGAGATTCTCTCCCTCAGAGGTGAAAAGTGAGTCCGCTGGATCCATACTGGTCGCGTCGTTCTGTCAGGGCTCTGTGTGCGGACAGGCAGAAATGTGGATCCAAATGCAGGACTCCGAGACGAAATGTAACTAAAACCACAGCTTTTATTGCTGGCATGAAACAAAAACAGAAACCAAGCAGGAACACACAGGCAGGGTCTGAGGGTACAACGCGACACCGAGCATGGGAAAACACAGGGCTTAAATACACAGGGTAGTAATGAGGGAATGGGCAACAGAAGGGAGACACAGCTGGGGGAGATCAGGGCTAACGAGACGGGGGAGCTAAGCTGCACACACTAACATAAGACAAAGACTTTCACAATAAGACAGGAAACAAGAATTACTAAACCAGATGCAGACATGACACTGAGAGACGGACTAGACACTGAACAGAAACTGCAACACACATGAGAACCCAAAACCTAAGAACTGATCCCTCACCGAGAATAACAGAAACAGATCTATAATGATAATAAACAAAGCACCAGAACATCAGAAAACAATCCATAATGCAAAAATAAACCAAAACATAATAAACTCAAAATACCGGGTCCAACGGACCCAGAACCGTGACAGAAACAGCTGCGTTCTCAAAAATACCCGTGTAGGTGTAGCGTAAAGGGGGGGTTCAAGGTTCTTTATTTGTCACATGCATAGTTATACAAGTATAACACACAGTGAAATGTAACCTGACACGCTCCTCGACATGTGCAAAAATTGGGGGGGGCGTAAGAGGAAGAACACATATATATATATATATATAATGCTCAGTGAATACCTCAGGCAGCAGAAACCCAAGAAAGAGGAGGGAGACGAGGAACCATCATGGAAGGACAGGCCCCTGCACGGTATGTACCACCGGCAGATAGAGGAGGTGGCTGATATCCAGAAATCCTACCAGTGGCTGGACAAAGCTGGACTGAAAGACAGCACAGAGGCACTAATCATGGCAGCACAAGAACAAGCTCTGAGCACAAGATCCATAGAGGCTGGGGTCTATCACACCAGGCAAGACCCCAGGTGCAGGCTGTGTAAAGATGCCCCAGAGACAATCCAGCACATAACAGCAGGGTGCAAGATGCTAGCAGGCAAGGCATACATGGAACGCCATAACCAAGTGGCCGGCATAGTGTACAGGAACATCTGTGCCGAGTATAACCTGGAAGTCCCGAGGTCAAAATGGGAGATGCCCCCAAGGGTGGTGGAGAATGACCGAGCTAAGATCCTGTGGGACTTCCAGATACAGACGGACAAAATGGTGGTGGCTAACCAACCGGACATAGTGGTGGTAGACAAACAGAAGAAGACGGCCGTAGTGATCGATGTAGCGGTTCCGAATGACAGCAATATCAGGAAGAAGGAACACGAGAAGCTGGAGAAATACCAAGGGCTCAGAGAAGAGCTCGAGAGGATGTGGAGGGTGAAGGTAACGGTGGTCCCCGTGGTAATCGGAGCACTAGGTGCGGTGACTCTCAAGCTAGGCGAGTGGCTCCAGCAGATCCCGGGAATAACATCGGAGATCTCTGTCCAGAAGAGCGCAGTCCTAGGAACAGCTAAGATACTGCGCAGGACCCTCAAGCTCCCAGGCCTGTCAAGGTCAACAGCATTTCAAGTAGGTAACACCTTGATTATTTTCTTTATTTAGTCATTATGTTGTAGATCTGCTCCTGTGTTTGAGATCATTGTTATATCACAGGGGTGGCCAACTCCAGGCCTCGAGAGCCGGTCTCATGCAGGTTTTAGATAACATCCTGAGTCAACACACCTGAATCAAATGATTAGTTCCAGGCCTCTGGAGAACTTGAAATGTTGAGGAGGTAATTTAGCCATTTAAATCAGCTGTGATGGATCAAGCACACATCTAAAACCTGCAGGACACCGGCTCTTGAGGCCTGGATTTGGCCACTCCTGTTCTATCACGACTCAGTCTGGCACAAGCTTTAGCTGTCAGACCTCTCTTTTGACCCCAGAACGATTTGGTACACAGAGGAGTTTACAGTCAACTCGACAGTGATTGCAAGGTGTCCAGGTTCTGTCACTGTAAAAGAAGCCCAAATCATCACCTCTCCACCACTGTGCTTTACAGTTGGTATGAGGTGTTTGTGTTGGGTTGGTTTGCTGTATTTGGTTGTTACTAAACGTGGCGAGTACAACATCTACATTATCCTTTAGATAGATATGTGAAACCTATGCTGTGCTGCTTTTTTTACAATTGCACTGTCACTTTTGATGTGTAGTCTTTTTTCTGTTTTTTGTTTTGTTTTGTTTTTCACTGAATGTTGGAGACTTTGTCACTTCTTAGCATGTGATCTAAGAAATGAATCCCCCCCCCCTCGATGCAATCAATGTTTGT